TGACGGGGACAGAGGGTCCTCCGGCACAGGGTTCCTCTAAGGGTTGGCCACACGGTGGTGAGCAAGTGGCTTTTCCGTGAGGAAGAGGATGGTGGGGAAGTGCGGTATAATAAAGGGGAAATAGCCCCAAGTTGGAGGTTGGGAGGCTCGGTTGGCCGTTAGGAAGAATCTGCTTGCCCGGAGGGGTGGCGCGGCCCTGGGTTTGGCGGTCAAATAACTGGGATAATCCCATCTTTGGGGGTTGCAAGGGCTTGGCTGGATGGAGCGGAGCGGTCCTGACCCAGCGTTGGTCCCAGCCCTGCTCCGAGCAGCTTGGACTAGAGCCCCCCGAGGTCCAACCTGCATCTCTGCAGGAGTCTGTGCATCCCATGGGAAGTGCTCAGGCTCCGGCAGCCCCGTGCAAGGGGCGACGGACGTGTCCTCTCCGCAGGGACGTCCCCGCAGAGCTCCCCTGTCCCAGGCAGCCTCCCTCCCAGCCCGCCGCTTCCCGCTCCTGCGTGCGCAGGGACAGCGCTCCCGATGCAGCAGCTCCAGGACCAGCTGCAGGACCTGAAGGTGCAGCTGGAAGCCAAGGTGAGGGCCGGGGCTGTGAGGGGACACGTCCCAGCTCCCGGGGAGCAGAGAAGGGGATGTCCCGTCTCCCAGCACAGAGGGGCCGCGTTCGGAGCTCAGCGCCAGGCAGGTCTCTAGATTGCAGGGATAACTCCGCTGGAGCTATTCCACCTGCTTCCCCTGCCCGTTCTACCTCATAGCAGGGTTTGGAGCAGGCTGGCAGAGGCTCTGCAGACGTCTATCACGTTGCAGATGGTTTGGGTGCTCCTTGCTACCAGCGCAGGGCCAGAGGTTAACTCTTCCCACCATCGCTGGTGCAGCCTTGCTGGGCAAAAGGACCAAAAGGAGAAGCAGCCCAGCCTGGAGCATGGGAAGCACCAGAGCACCGTCTCCCCAAGTCTGTGGCACTTGTAACTCGCACGTCCCAAGGTGACAGCGTGAGCCCAGTGCTCCTTTTAGACAGCAGGCGAGCGTGCAGGAGGCCTCAGTTTCCACCTTGCGCGCCTCCTTTTCGGGGCTTTCCAGCGCTTTCCGTTGCATTCCCTGCCAGAGTAAATCCTAAACTGTCCCGCTCGCTGCCTGGAGTTCTGCCTGCGTCACCGTCCTGTCTGTACTCACCAAATCCTGCTGTTCCCACCAGGATTTTTAAATCCAAGCATTTGCAGGGGAGACATGGGTGGCAGCAGCCCCTCACTGTCACCTCTTAGACAAGGAGCCCCTGTTAGTTCCATGTGATTCCCAGCTGCCTGCAGGAGAAGGGGCTCTCAGGAAACCTGTGCCAGTATCCCATTTGTGTCTCCCCCACAGGTAAACCACTACCAGCAGGAAATGGAGTTGATGAAGAAGAGCTTTGAGAGGGAGAGGAAGGCCAGTGAGGAGAAGTTCAAGGCTGAGATGACCAAAGTGGAGGAGCAGAAGAAAGACCTGGAAGAAACAGCTGCAACATATTGGGCTATAATTGATGGCCTGAAAGAGCAAAAATGTGTGTGGAGTCCGGAGCCGGAGGAGGCGTCTGAGCCGGAGCGGGCCGAGGCGGAACAGCAACACCCCGAAGGGATGTGGCATCCGGAGCGGCGGCCGGCTCGGGAGGGAGACGAGCTGCAGACGCGCCGTGGGGACAGACGGAGCCTAAGGTCTGGCACCGCTCCCTTTTGGAGCGTAGTTGGAGCCTGGGGATGGGCTTGTACTCATTCCAGGGCAGGTTGGGGGCATTCCTCACGGAGCTGGAGATCTTGTTTCGTCCTCTCCGACTCCTTTCTCAGAACTCGGGGGGGTTCCCTGCACGTCCCTCGCGTGCAGTAAGGGCCATGCTCAGCACGGGCTGTGCCTCAGCGCGCTGAGGGGAAGGCCACGGCTTCCACCAACTTCTCTAACGTTGCCTGTGTCTCTCCTGCTGCCCCTCGGTCCTTCAGCACCTTCCTGTGCCTGTGGGGCTGGTTCTGCCTCCCCACTGCGGGCCAAAATGGGTGTGTGGAGGAGCCTGGAGAGGAGAGCCTGGAAACAGATGTTTTAGCTGCGTTACAGGCTGGAACCCCAGATAAGAAGGGTACAGGGTGTTTGAGTCTTTCTCCTGCCGTCCCTGGTGACCAGGACAGGGACTGGCCATAGTGCAGGGCTTCCAGAGCTGCCTTTGAGACGTGCCCGGTGGCGTGGCTGGCGTAATCGCTCAAGAAACCTCGGTGTTCCCTCCCTTGCACGGCTACGTC